AATTCTTTCTTTGTTGTTGTTGTTGTTTTTAAACTTATTTTGGATGCCAGCAAATGTGTCTGAGGGGAAAGTGATTGTGGTCACTTAGAGGCCTGCTGAGAAGAGCAGGACTCAGGCAGCTTGCTCTGATTCCTCTCAGCTCTGTAAATCACTGCCTCACTCAGCCAGAGTCAAATGAGCTCCAGCACTGGGCCATGTCCAGCCTGTGCTGCAGCTGCTGGCAGCTCTCCCACTGCCTTCACCAAGGCAGAATTTCATCTGCTAAATCACCAAAGAGTTTTTATCTATGAGAGCTGTCTGGTTTTGGCTGAATCATGCACTAATGATTTTTAGGGGTCATGACAGAAAGTTCATTTGAAAGGAGAGAATAATTGGGCATATGATGGAACTTGGAGCAATCTGGCCTGGTGGAAAGTGTCCCTGCCCATGGCAGGGGTGGAATGAGATGAGCTTTAAGTTCCCTTCCAGCCCAAACCACTCTGGGCTTCTCTGATCATACACTGACTGCAATAAGTGTGTCACTGTCCCTCTGCCACCAGCAATGACCCTGCTCTCAGGCAGGCCACAGAACTGCACATCTTCAGCCAAAAAGCAGTCTTAAGCCTAATCAGACCATTTTGATAGAGAATGGTTAGTTGTTAAAATATGATATTATTTCAGATGGGTGGGTTATTGTTCAAGGTTGGAAGGAAGCTGTTCTCTCACCCTGTCTCAAATGCAGCAGAGCAAGCCTGACTTGAGGTTTATCTCTAAGCTTCCTGTGGGTGTATCTTAGTCCCTTGCTCAGGATTATCCATAAAGCTATCCAAGATCAGTGCTTATATTCTGCTTTAATCTTTGTTAATTTTCAAATCTAAATGAGATTCAAGACTACCGAACCTGACTAGGCAGACCACAAAAAGGGTAGCTAAGGAACCCTTGTAGCTTGTTTAATATGCTGGGCTACTGATGCTGTGCCTCTAGCCTTGAGTCTCACCTGCAGTTGAGATATAAACCTACCAAGGAAGTCCCATTCTGCTTGTAAGGGCTACAAAAAGAAAGCTCAGCACTTTACTTTCCACCTTAGACAGGTACATGAGACTGAGGGCTCCCCTGAATTAGGCAGCAGGAGTTTTGATGAACTGCCCTCTCAGCCATCCCTCTCCACCTCCCTCCACTGAACCGTGGTTTCAGCTTCCTCAAATGATCCTTTGGATGGGTTAGGCTGCTGGTTGGCTCTGCTGTTAAGTGTCTCTGTGGACCAGATTTAACTTTTAATAGTGTCTCATAATGTCTTTAAAGAGGTTTATGGCTCAGCCTGGCTCTCTGGGAGATTGCCTGTTCCCTGCTAATCTGCTACAGAAACATTGCCATTGGTTCCTGCAGTATTTCAGGGAGTTCTCCCCCATCTCCACAGCCAAGTTAATTGGACATGATTGACCTATGGTAGAGAATGACTATTAGGTGAGGAATATTAAGCAAAGGGAAAAAGATCTTTCTGTAGCTCAGAACATGCTGGGAGCTGTGGGGAATGGCAGGAAATGGCAGCTCAAGGAGTGTGCAGAGCAGGCCCTGGGAGAGGGTCGATTTAAGGAATGGGAAAGTGCTTTGCAATAACTGAGGTTTGTAAAACTAGCAGCTCTTTCCAAAGGAGAGTAAAAATACACTGGAGTCTTGAGAGTCTATAAGAGGCAAAAGTGCAAGAAAGAAGAGAAATAGGTTGTGGCAGACTGTGAGAGTGCTGTTTTTGATAATTCTTTCTTTTTTGACAAACACTTCACTGTAGCACAGCTGCCCAAACCTGACTGAAGGAGTCAAGGAACAAACAGGGCAGGATTTCATCAGGATGCATTTGTGTTTCCAACTGGAAGCTGCATGCTGCAGGCAAGTCCAGTCCCCTGAGCAAACACTGAATGATTAATGGACACGACACTGGTCCACAAGACAAATACAAGCCCTGTAATATCACTGAGCAGCTCAAGACACAAAACCAGTTTGCAGAGCAGCTTTATGCAGAGCAAATGAAACCTTGCTGCCAAATCCTGGAAGTTTTGGTTGCTGCTTCCCAATTTACTTTCACACACTAATCCTCTGGATGGGGTAAATCCCATAAAATTATAAAACCAGCCCATATTCCTTAGGACGAGAGTTTCCAGTGTCAGAATTGTCAGTCTCAAAACTTCTTTGGCTGAAGTAAACTTCCTGAGAGAAGCAGAGGTGTCAGCACAGGGTTTAAAACTGTGTAAGTATGTGCTTAACTCTACTGAGACGTGAAGTTTCACTGAGCTCAGCAGAGTAAAGTTCCATCTGGGGGAGTGGCTCGAAGGTCAGGCCTCAAGAACAAAAGTGCTTCAGATTCATGGCTAATACCAGCAGCAGGATGGCACTGCCAGTGACGTGATGTGGTTTGCTATGGCAAATAATGGCACTTCCATCTGATGGGAGAGGGAGTTCCCTCTCTTAAACCTTATGTATTCACACAGGGAGAAAAGCCACTGGTCCTGAAGTTTAGAGTGTGCTGCTTATAATTCCAAAGACTGAGTCCAAGGTAATGTGCAAAGTGAACGTGTCCCTGTACCACAGCCAGTGACTGAAGGAGCACCTCTGACCCCTGCCAGGAACTCTGGTCTCCCCAGTCAAGAATCCTCCAGCTCAGGATTTGGGCTTTGCAGCTGGTGCAGAACTAACTCCTCATCTGGCACTGGCACCACTGCCTTAAAGATGGATTTTGCAGTTTGTAGAAACTCAAAATCAGGCTTTTTGGGGCAAAGGGACTGATTAAGGGGTAAGTGTTTCTGCTCACCTGCACTCAAGGAAGCACTGGGTGATCTGGTCCTGGAGGGTTTCCTTGATGTGGGGCCCCTCTGTTATCTTCAGCTCATGCCTGAAGGAGAAGTCTTCTCTTTCCTGGGCTTCACCTTGCAGAACATTTTCTTTCTGCAAAATGCTCATTGCCTCCAAGTCAGGAGGCAGACTCTGAAAACAAGAGGAGAAAATAAAAGGTATGAATGAAAAGAAACTTAATAATTTTTACTGGAATGCCAGGTTGACAGTGAATCTGAGCTTAAGCCTTACTTTACTTGCAGAAAGTCAGGAAAATAAAAAACCAAACCAAAAACAACTCTGTGCTCATAAAGAGTGCCTGGATGCACACAATGGTCTATTGTTAATATTTCAGCATTAATTAATAACATTGCAATGCACAAAAACAACCTTTGCAGCGTGGGATCTTGGATCTCAATGAGACAGGTGAGAAAGCTACTGTTCTGCAAATGCCAGCTTTATCCATGTCAGAAGGGTGCCAGAGAATTTTTTAATTGAATTTTCAAATGTCTGGACTTCCTACTGGTGCTTTTTAATTAGCCAGTATTGTTTTTAATTTGTGCACTGTAATTTTTATATGCACACTGCTTGGTCAGTGGTTTCCTGGTATTTTGTTGCAGCTGGTCAGACTCCTTTAGGAAATCAACTTCCCTTGAGGAAAAACAACAACAAAAAGGAATAAACAACCCTCCTGAAACACTACAACAAAAATCACAGGTCCCCAAGTTTCCCATGATTTGATAACCTTGGAAAGAAGGGCTTCTCAGCCAGTTTCAAGTCTTACAATAATTTCTGCTCTGTGATTGATTTTACACATGTAGTGTGAAGGAGAAAAATGAAAGTCTTTCTGGTATTCAAATACAGAAGCATGAAAAAACACATCTGTGTGGGTGGGCTGAAACTTTGCGTATTTCAGCTTGCAATCATTGAGAAAATTAAGATGTTCCCAATGTCTTATGAGCTATTGCTACTTTTTAAGTGTAGAGAAAAAAATCTATTTTAAAAATTAACTTGTGAACTGGCTTTGTGGTTTTAGATTTTCTTAATTCTGGAACAAAATGGGTTTTTTGTGTACTTGGGAATGATAAATCATATTGTCCTATGTGTGTGGCAAATTTAAGAAGGGAAAAGAGGAGAAAATATGACAATCTGGTTTTGTAGTACAATTTTATTTCTTTTCAAAGTTAGTGACTGACATAGGTGGCAGCATATGTGAACAAAAGCTTGGTTTGGATGAAAAAAAACAATATAATTTTGCTCTGGCCTTTTAACTTCAGAGCATATAGAATTTGTCCTTAACTGGCACATCTCAGATTGATTCAGTAATGAATTCTTCTTGCTTTGGTGATGTATTTTCTGGTGTGCTCCAAGTCCCGATTCCTGAGGCCTCCCGTGAAGACAAAAAGCTCTGTCAAAGCTTTGGCCACCTCATATTTAAGATCTGTTATTCCCTGGTTTTCCATGCTTCCACCAGATTCCAAAAATCACTAATAAGTGCCAAGCTTTGGCCACCTCATATTTAAGATCTGTTATTCCCTGGTTTTCCATGCTTCCACCAGATTCCAAAAATCACTAATAAGTGCCAAGCAACTTTGGTTTCAGCGAGCACCCAGAGGGATCCCACAGTGTCCAAAGCAAACACACAGGCCTCATTCAGGAAAGCAATTTACTGCATCTGGGATGTGTGACTCGCACTGTGCTCCGGGAATGGGGCAAGGCCACCAGGGAGAAAATATTCAGGAGGAAATAAGAACAGCAGTGTGCTTCTGAAAGGTGGCTGCACATGTTCCCTCCTTGAATATGTGACCCCAAGTGCTGCCTTTTACCCTGAGATGTTACCTTTGCTCAATTCCCAGTCTTCAGGGAAGTCAAGTGTTTCCAATCTTCCCCAGCACCTATTTATGAGTATTATACAGCTACTATTGACAGTGTTTATTTGTATTTCACCACTGTCTGCCTTGCTGATGTTAAACAAAGCCCAGAACAGCCAGATGCGATGCTGCTCTCTCAGGGGCTCCTTTGGAAACCAGAGGCGCCCCCACAAGGCATGTTTTCCAGACTGAGATCCAAAACCAACTCCTCTATTTGTCTCCCTACAGCAATCCTCAGGGGATTCCTTAGAAATTCCCAGCAGATGGGCATGAGGGTGCCTGCAGCTTTAGGGAGGCTCATCTGTGGCTGATGGAGAGAGACAGGCTCCTCTCCAGCACAGCCTGAACATTTAAAGGTGAAATGCCACCAGGTGAGCAGGGAAGGGTCAGATCATGCACCACCTGAACTGCTGGGTGCATGATCCCTCCCTTCTCCTGCTCAGGCTCTTGCACTCACCTGACCCTGCAGTGAACCAGCTCAGCTCCCTAAAAAGTAAAAAATAATCCCTTTTGTCTTTTCCTCTCCTCCCACCTCCTCAAGTTACTCATTTCCCACTATAACAAGGTGGACCAGCTAGCCAAGGAGCAGATGAAGGACAGTGCCACAGCAAGGGAAGTGGTGGTCAGTGGGACCAGACCAACATGGGGAGCAGCAGCACAGGCAGCAGAGCTCCTCCCTGCCATCCTAGAACCTTTGCAGCTCCTCTGAGCTGCTCTTCACTGCATCTTGAGGGAGCCTTGCGTGAGCAGCTTGTCCCACTGTGAATTCATTCAGCCTCCCTTTCAGCTGTCCCACAGCCAGACGAGGCAAGAGCTGTTTGAAGTGGCAAACTGGAGGTGCCAATGTGAGATCAGCAGGAGGAAATTCTTATCTCATTGCTACAGCCCATATCTACACTTGAGCCCAGAGTCATGAAGCTGCTGTGGACACAGCCCAGGTAGCTCTGAACCAGCTGGCTCAGATGCTGATAACAAGGCCATGGCATATGTTCTGGTTGGCAAAAGCCAGCCGAGCCCTGGGTAAATATTTGTGCAGCTCCCTGTCTGAGCACCAGTCAGTTATCAGTACATCTGCCAACAGGAGTTTATCAGCTGTATTCAGCACCACGGCTGAAGTACAGACAAACCTGCAGGACAGCTTATGAAAAGTTTTATTTTTTTCTGTTTTAATACAAGAAAACAGAAGAAATAAGAATTACTTCTAGAACAAGCCTCCCCAGCCATTCACCTTCAGTATTTCCCTAAAGAAAGGCATGAAAGAGAACACGGCAAATTGATAAGGCTGTATTCTCCTCTTTTCCCTCAATCCTCCTGATTCCTTGTTTGGCTCCAGCTGTGATGGGAGCAGGCCATGAAGAGCACAGCTGGCTGTGAGCAATGAGGCCTGAAGGACTCAGGGCTGGCTGATGTGGAACTCACACAGTGTGCCCTGTCCACGAGAGAAGAGCAGGAGGCCAGCACGTGTCAGGAACGTAAGGCTGGCTCCTGCTCTGGGAGAGGAGAACGAGGAGGAAAGCACTGACTGGCAGTGAGGACATCATGCCATAGGCATGTGATTTTTAAATAAAACAACACAGGTGAATGTACAGCTGGCTTGGCTTTCTGTTCTGTCACTTTGAAATCAATGGAGTCATGTAAACAAAAAACGAATGGACTTGAAGAAAACAAGGATGAGGAGACATCAGAAGAATTTATGTGTACGTGAGCTAAGTGAAATGGGGACTACCCTAAAAACAGCTTCTTTGGACTATAAGAACTGGTCCAAGCATGTGGATGCTCAAGGAAGTGAACTATTTGATAAAGGAGGGAGGCAATAAAAAGAGGAACTAGACAAAACTAAATGTGGAAGGGAATTTAGCAACATAACCTAATATAGACACTGGGGCAGCAGGAGCTGCTGAAAAGATGTAGCAAGATGTCCAGAGGATGGAATGGTCAGTTCTCTACCATCTGTAAAGAATTTTCATAGAAAATGCTGTTCTTCTGTCAAATAAATGATGATATAAAATGTTTTAGAATATTAAAACCCTTGAAAAAAAGAAAATAAGCTATGAATAGCATAGATGATGCCTTCCAGCTTTGCAGCTGAAGAAAGCTGCTCTGTTAAACTTGTTTTATTTTGTCCACAGTGTTCTTGACCTAATCACAGAAGTATGTGTCATGCTAAGCCTCACCAGCTTCAGAGTTTAACACATTCCTAACCCTGTCTCAGGAATGAGGAGCCAGCTGCACAACCTGGGGCCTTGTGTTCATCTTCAGGTGCTCTTGGGCCTTCAGAAGGAGACAGAATCTCTCAACAGCCCTGCTAGAGGTTCTGTTCTCTTGCCAATGAGTAGAACTCAGAAGAAAACAAGTCTGAAAAAGCTTTGGTCATCTGAAGATGCAAGAGGGAACAGGAAGTGAAATGGCTGGAGAGTGCCAAGAGATGAATTCCAACAGCTCTAGCAGGAATGCTGGAATCCCTGCTGGCCAGCCTGTGATCTGTGCCTTGCAGCATCATGGAAGAGCTTTCCATGTTTCCACATGGCTCTTGTGGAACTCTGAAGTTATCCTGAGTGCGCTTCCACAGCCCTCTAATGTGCATGGAAGGAAGACAAAGCCAATTTATTTCTAACATCCCTCTCTCAGCGCCTCTAATGTTCCTGCTTCTGAATCAAAGGGAGGCATTCTCCAGGAAGATGCTAATAAATAGCTTTTCCTTGGGGGAAGAAGCATTTTCCCATCTTTAAGAAATTTCTCTGGCCATGTGAAATTCAAATTTGTTAACTTGCCGTACAAACAGCAACTCATTTAGAAACAAATTAGAAATATTAGATGGAGACAGTGAACTTGATAATGCAATGCTGCCACATCAGTTGTAGAATAATGCATCTTAATGAAGGCTTCCCATGTGAATAAACCATTATATTTACAAGCTTTTCACAGTTAATGACCCAGAACTGGATAACGAAACTCACATTTTTAGTGTGGTCCTCTGTCAGCAAAAGTATACATATTAATAATTGATGTTGCTGTAAAAATAGGACATATTATGAAGATTCCTGAGTTTGTGGGAAAATAGGACTACATGGTCCATTAACTTAAAAGGCTTATCTAATGTTTGATGGGCTTTGTCTTTAAAATCCCTGTTTAAATTAATAAGGCAAAATGGACATTTGTCTAAAAGAGAATTTTATTCCAACTCATCAGTCACGAGTGTGCTGCTATGATTCTTCTGTTCTGCTCTTTACTCGTTCCCCAAAAGAATTTAGATTTTAGGGAAGGGGATGATACACCAGTAGA